TTGTTCTTCATTAATTATCGTCATAAGATGATAGCAAACACATAACACGAGGAAATAGTAAAAAATATGCGAATGAAATAAAAATTAATAAAAATAAAATTGACATTACATTAAATGCATTACATTTTTTACGCATTTGAAGGTCCATAAATTCATTTGCGTAGTATGAATGGTTCTCCAATCAAAGGTCTTCCAGCTTGCGTCTAAATTTAATATGTATCTTAATAATATGTAAAGTGAAAACTGATAAAACTTCGTAAATACAAAAAAAAAAAAGTTTTAATGTTTTTTTACGAAAACCATCATACTGTCTGTTTGCTTATGTTCCATCGTCAGACCTTAGCGAAATTCTTATGATTTTTTTACTAGTTCAAATCTATGTTTCATAGGTTAACTAATTATACGTGAAATCGTGAAATTTACAACCCAAAGATCAGCACTAGGCTTCGTCAATAGGTAAATAAACTGGAAAAAAGGATTTCGTTAAATATTCCTGACCTAAAAAAAACCCGCCGCAAATTTATGTATAACATTTTGAACAGATGAAGGGCACTGGGGGACCCACGGGCCAAGGGTTTCGACTCCAAAGGCTGTAAGTAGGTAGTCGGAGCTGAGATCCTGGTACTGATTACTTTTTATTCTTTCCGCCAGCTCAGCTGCGGAGCCAGCATTCTTGCTGGTGTGCTGGAGGTGGGATGGGGCAAGTGTGTCGGCATATTAAGCGTCCCACACCCGTGCCCGGCCCATACTCCAAGTTAACACCACGTTAACAGTGGCTAAGGCCCAGCGGATGATGTCGTTGATGGCTGCATGCCTGGTGATACGGCCGGCGCTCAGCTGGCAGGAAAGACCGTGGTGACCCAGAGCACTTACGTCTTTGTCGCAAGGACACCGATGAGGTGAACAAACTGGGACACCAAGGCGCAGACCTGCAGCTATGCGAATGGTCTCGGCGCTCAGGACGGTACCGGTACTGGCAGAGGGGAAAACGTGTAGCCAGTCGCCAGATTCTCACCTGGATGCCGCTTCCATACGCGCTCGGTCTATTGGGGTGCAATGATTCATTAAGTCGTTTAAAGTCTTTTTGCACAGAATATTATCATCCCAGCTCCGGTGAATTTTGGGGTCGGACAGAGAATTTTTGTTGGGGCAAGACTGGTTCCACGCGTTTCTGGATGGGGAGGAGCTACCCAGCTTGGGTCCAAGCATTGTGAGTGAGATGGACGTTGAGAATAGATTGAAGAAGAGCTTTTAGATCAGAATCTATTGACATCAGCTGATTATGGAATTTCCAAGCCCGACAGCAGCGAAGTACGTATGTAAATTTAGGAACGAAAAGGCAATATTTTAAAATACAGATGGCGTAGTGGATATCTAGGCTCAGAAGCCTATCTGGACATGAGTTGAACTTTGAGATCGAATTTTGGAAAAAGGCTGGAATTGAATCATCGAATATAGGTGCACCGGAGGCTAAGCTTGGATTCGTCGGTGAGACGAATGTTCGGGGCCAAAGGTATTAAAATTTGGAATGATTGTATCCCTGTTGGGATAAGATTGAGTTATGTAAAGTTCGCAGTTATCAAAATTTAAGTGGAGGCCAATGCTGCTATAACTGTTGATGATTTGGTTAAGGTCCGAAAGTACGATGTTTGCTGGGCTTCCTAGGGTTTCATCATCTAGGTACCAGACGTTAAGATTTGAATGCAGATTTTGGATGATGGGATGTATGGCGAGACTGAAGATGGCAGGCCCCAGAGGATCGCCTTGCTGACAGCCCACGGCAGATGATAGTTCATAGGCCCTGTATATAATATAATCGAACAAAACCCCTAGGACTCCACCCATAAAGGTTATTAAAGGTTAGGTATACTAAAGGTTCGATAAAATTAAAGTGAGTAAAAATAATTAGTGATGTAGTTAAGATCTAACCACAACGCGACATGTATTAGAATGGAAGAAGTCAACTAGGGTCGTTGTGCTATTTGGTTTATAACCGTGGTTTTAAAGCGGTAAGTTTAGGTATTCGATAAGCACATTTATGTTCCAATAATTACACAATAACATAGGTATTTTTAATACATTATTGTTTAAACATTAATAGAAACCTAAAGCAGTATTTTATTCCACAATATAACATAATAGATGTAAATATTAGCTTAATGAAAACATTTTGTTTCGTTGCGTTATATCATTTAACTATGTTTCTAAAATAAACAATGGTATTGTGAGACATACGTATAGGTGTCGTGATGTTTACTAATATTAAATGAAAATGTCGGTAAGCTTGGAAAAGAACCTGTTTATTCGAATTACAAACGAATTTAAAAAATAATACTTCCATAGGCAAGTAATATTCTACGCACTTGTACATTTTGACCCCTGAGTCAATGAAAAAAATTTGCTGTCTATCAATTTACTGAAGTGTTTACAGTTAATATTGGTTTGACAACCCAAAACACATATTGCGTGTTATTATCAAGTTATTCCTGGTATCTAAAAGGTGTTATCGTTATCGCTGATTATCGACTGTGGATAGTGTAGAAAAAATCGTCATAACGCCATCGATAATTTTGACCGCTGATCAGATTAAATATTCATTTGAGGGAGTCCCAATGAAATAACTGACGACCTCCATGGTCGGCTTGCATACCGGTTTTTATGGTCTCGCCATATCTGAGGTCTCGCCATATCGGAGTCAGGACTGGATGTTTGTGGTACCGTAGTTGTTTCCGATTTCCATAACACGAGTACTTACCTTCGGTTCGGAGCAACGCAAGTGATGTTGTCTGATATTTATTTTTATTTTTTTTGTATAATTCCAGGCGATCATGTCCATAACAGTTGCAGTGCCACCCAGAGCTTTAAATCGCAAGGATCTGAGGAGCACTACCGACGCACCCGTCACTCTGAGACATAAGTTGACAAGTTTCACCAGCACCCATGTCCTTCCAAACCGGAACGCAGTAATGCTCACATTACTGCTTGGCGGCAGAAATAGGTAATGTGGCAGTAACCACAAAATTGGTGTTCTTTTACTCGGATATTTTGATTATTTCGTATAAGCTCCATTTATTTCGTATAATCTACGTATGTATACATATATTATTAAATAGGTGTAACATTTCTGAGTGCCGTATTAGACTATTCTAATGGTTTGACCTACAGCCTCTCAAACACAGGGTCGTGAGTTCGAATTTGGGCTTGCATCTCGAGAGTTTTTCGGGATTCATGTGAGTTTAATTTCAAATTTACCCGAAACTTTTCGGTGATGGAAAATATCGCGAGAAAAATTTAGTACTAGGTGAAATTACAGGCACATGGGACTTGTTAACTTGTATCTCAGGGTGACGAGCGCAGTGGTAGTGCGCTGAGAGGCATTGTGACTGTTATGGGCAGGTGATTGACATGTTCATTCAATAATTTGGTGTCATTAAAAAAATCTGTACACATCTGTAAAGCAATTTACTGATGTGTGTGACATTCCCAATCCACACTGAGCCCGCGTGGGAACTACAGCCCTCAAATCCTCTAATTGTGAGAGTAAACCTGTGCCCAACAGTGATACTATATATAGACTAACAATTATTATTATTTTGGATATATTTTAGACTCTTACCTCTCCCATGGCCTAAAAGATTAATTATGAATTTTTCAATTAGAGAGATGGTATTCCCCGGTAATGGCACAGTCGGCCGGGGCCAGGGACTCAGGTTCAAGAACCAGTTAATAATACGTGCTGTATTGAGTAGGACCGCTTTCTGGTGTTTTTGCTGGAAGCGACACGCCACAGAAATCCAACCGCAAGTTATTAGCGAGGCTGATTAGAATTAACCGGCTTGCAGGCAAAAGTATTGAGATTTTTTCAGTGGAGGCTACATGCCACATGTCAGTGATCACGTGCGCCAGGTACTTCCAATGTTTCTCGTTTCCGGCTTTCACGAGACACTCATCATCTGGGATGGTAACGATAACCTGATCCAGTATTGCACAGACAAAACCTTCGGTTTCCGCAAAAAGCTCTCCGAAACGTAGTCAATTATTATAGCACAAGCGCTTTTTATAAGTCCCATGGTCACGGGTGACATCCGTCGAGTCACACTGTGCAATCGCGAAAATCTAAAAACTGTTATTGTTTGTTAGGTTGCCCTCAAAATAAAACAAAATGGCGTAGATGTGAGTCACGTTATTTTGAATGCAAGATAACAAAGTTAGAATTTAGTGAGTCGACAATAACGTGATCGTAATGAGTCAAACTGTTATAATGACGTCTATTATCTGAATTAGATTTTAAAATATAGGATTTACTTTGATAGTCGTGATTTCCATAAGCTGTTCAAAACACGATAACTATTCTAATGGTATTGATATATTTGCAATAGCTGATTGCCTATCTGGACCGTCAGGCTACTTGTAATAGAGGTTTTGAAGTACAAATAAGTAATAAGGTCATCATTAAAATTGAGATAGTGGACATACAACGTTATTCATGTGGTTGTGGAAAGACTAGTTAATAATTTTATATATGACTTATATTATATACTAGTTCCTAAACGTTATGGCCTGCGTTTAGGCCACAGTTTAGTTCAAGAGTCGTAGCAGTGGTTTGTTTTACACCGACACCCATTGCATGGTCTCAATCAAGGGAATTTCCCTGTACCATGAGTACTAGAGCAACGGAATTCTAAAAATCATTCTGAGGCAATTCGCAGAACACTCAGCACAGAGCCAATTTAGAAAATTCATAAGAACATATAAAAATTCGTAAAAGCTTATGGTTCATTCCGTAGCCCATTGGGATAGCGTCAGGCACGGTATGTCGAATTTGCTGGTTCGAATCCAGCGAAATCGAAGGAATTTTTCTTAGTGTCCGATCTTGGTATTTACAATTTAGAAAAGTTAATTTCTCAAATTGTTCCTATCGGGAATCGAACCCGGGATCTCCTCATCCAAAAACTGTTGAGCCTCTGAGGTGGTCTTATAAGTAAATAAGAAATACTCACTGACGATATGGATCATAAAGGAAGCGAAGACCACCATCCAGCCCCAGCCCCCATCTGGGGGAGGCGCCAGGCTGACGGATTCATATCTCGGAGAGTCCGGCACCTGCCCGCCGTTCCCGTTCTTCGCACTTTTCACCGCTCCGTTAGACATCTTCAATTCGCTATAATATTTTCACCTTTGGCACTCTACGATAACTATTTAAGGCAACTTGATATGACTTTGGGGTTTACTATATAATATTATCTAAACTTATTTTTCTGACGTATTGTCAAAAAGATATGATCACTTGAAAAGCTGTTGTGTTACAGTTGTAGCGCAACAACACTACATAAACAAGTATAAATATTTAGGTACGATTTAACATATTTATAAAGGTTGTTTTTATATTATGTAGTTGTGGACAGAAAAGGAAGCACTACGAAATGAGGAAGAATAAGGACGATTGCCTATATTTAAGGGCCTGCCTTTATTGTACTATCTGTTGTTGTTAACCATCTCTTCAATCTATCTGCAGTTCAGTATGTCTTTTATGGTGAATACTAATGTTTTGTTGCGAATTTCCGACATTCTTCTTGTCAGCTACGGTTCTTCTGGAACAAAAAAGGGGCATTTTAGATAGCACGGGCTTACAAATGAAAATGTTCTCATTTTTTTTTAAAGCTCACTAACTCAGACTCAAATTGCTTCGACTAATTAAATTAAAAAAATATTGTAAAAAACACAATGGAAATAGAAGTTTTTACGTTGGTCGAGTGATTTTTAAACTCTCACATGAATTTGATTTTACGCTGTTTACGTTTTGATTGCAAGATTGTTAAAAGTTTCAATACTTGTACATTTTTTAAACCAGGTTATTCCAGGTGTGATTATTGTGGTTCTGTGCGACTAAATCCCGTCTAGAGGACTTTTTATCTATTATATAGTACCTTTATGACGTTAAAATGTTGCTGTCAAGTGTGTGAGTAAGTAATAAAATGTACAAAACTAGATGGTCTGGAAATAAAATGCATTTCGTATGTACGTTAATGCATGTACACATTATTTTATGATCAGGTGCTTTACGTTTTACTTATATGAGATGGGGTAAACAATAGGTTTCCATATAAAGTGTACTGTATCTAAATAAACACGAACTCAGAGCCACACAAGATTGAGCATTAATTGGCGTAACTACTTCAAGAACATACGACTATCGATTTAGACGATTTATGTAAACCATATTATTAAATAAATAATTAATAAACATTGGACAACAACACATACTTTTGCATAATTCCTTAACACAAGTGCTTTTGTCATGGTTTTATGGTTTAAGACATTTATTTCTCAAAACAGACTACAAACATTCACTCACAATGAGAAATACTAGATAAATAAGCTTACAATAGTGAACGAGGGTCAGATACATTACATAAGTATATATAATATTAGAACAAATTCACGTTTTCACAATGCTGTTGCTTAGACTAAAAATTTATGTTTTGAAATAACCATGCTAGACATACACGAACAATAAGTTTTTTATTTTATTTTTTTGTTTATGAAGGTATTCAGAAATATTTTATTTGTACAACAAGGGATGTTACATGTTAGGGGTGTACAGTGTACAAAAATTGGTTTGTCTAAACTGACCGGGACCAGGATCGAATCCCGGACCTCAGAGATGGCGACACCATGAGGTAGTCATGTATTTCTTTGGGACTCTTTTTATTATGCCGCCAAGCCGTAATGTGAGTATTACTGCGTTCCGGTCTTGAAGGGTTAAGGGTGCTGGTGAAATTACAGGCACATGGGACTTGTTAACTCATGTCTGAGGGTGACGGGCGCAGTAGCAATGCCCCTCAGATCTTTGTGATTGAAAGTACTGACTGGCACTGCAACTGTTATGGACAAGCGTGTCGCTTACCACCAGGCTCATGAGTTGTTCGTCCCATCGTGGTATCATAAAAAAAACTATCAAAACTATATTTAATCTCATCACTCAAAATTATCGATGGCGCTGGCGTTACGACAATTTTTACTACACTGTCCATAGTCGATAATCAGCGATATCGATAACACCTTTTAGATACTGGGAATAACTTGATGATAACACACAATATGTGTTTTGGGTTGTCAAACCAATATTAACTGTAAACACTTCAGCATTTTTAGATAGTAAATTTTTTTCATTGGCTCAAAGTATACAAGTCCATTTACTAGGTTATGTTATATATATAATATAGCAGTTGTAGTGGCACTCAAAACTTTAAATCGTAAAGATCTGAGTCAAGTTCTTTAATTAGTACCCTTACCCTTCAAAACCGGAACTTGGCAGCAAGAATAGGTAAGGTGTTCCTATTTGGACTGTACTTCCATGGACAAACTCTTTCAGAAGGAGCTCTGCTGCTAGTAATTTTATTTTGCACAAAATAATAATTTAGACTAGGGTTTCAGTATTCAATATTCTTAATTTGCATTTCACAAAGGTTTACGAAGTTATTTACATAGTGAAACCAATTACATCGTGTACACTTTCAAGCACAAAAAAGTAGAAGAGAAGAGAGTTACAGTGGGAAAAAAGTTGAAGAGAAGAGAGTTATAGTGGGCTGTTTTCATCTGTTCTTTTGGGTTAAAAGCTTTCCATCAGAAATTCATTAATATTGTAATGACTTTTTTTTATATTAACTCCTTTATTTATTGTTTAAATATCACTATCATTTCTTGCTTTTTTTTCAAATCACGTTATTTGCTATAAATTTTTGGGGCCATGACATTGTGGGTTTGACGAATGTAGAGTTAATGTAGGTCTAGGCAGAATTAATCTATTTTTAAGTCGTAATGCATATGTTGATGGGATATCTTGATTTTTACGAACAAATTCACAAATCTCAAAGATGTGTATTGAGGATAGCGTGAGTATATTGTACTTTTGAAAATGAGGTCCAAAGCTATCGGTCTGTTTACGGTGTACGGATTCGGATAATTTTTTTTGCGCTATATAGGGATGGGATATCGGTACTACTATTTCGTAGCAGTTGTAAGAAAGGAAGCTGAATCGTGAAAGTTCGGACTCTGTACGTTTAAATTTATTTTGTTTGTTAAAAGTATGAAAACTATTTGGTAGCACTAAAAATGTAATAATGTCCACTCCATATGGACCTATTTTGTGAGTATGTCAATCCAGATAAAACGGAATGCAATATAGCGTCGTCTTAGAGTGAATACCACGTATGTGATTTCTATGTGACTTTTTAGGGCGAAGATAAAAAATTGTCTAAAATGTAGAGTCACAATAATGTAGGCAGTTTAGCACTATAGTTAGTTAAATTAGACCTCTATCAGGTACTATATCATTTAGTAATATATTTGAGCAAGAAGCTATAAGATTCTCTTCAACAAAAGTCAGTAAAAACGAACTATATGAAAACGCATATGCGAGGTTTTCACTCTAAGGCGACGAAAGGTGAGTCATACAATGTAGTTGGTTACCCATAGTTAGATAAAGAGTCAGTGCACACGTGCGTAAATTATTTTTAATTGGTTCGATTTGCAGTCTTATTAATTAGGCAGAAAGATATATAGTAATATTAAACTCATGTTGAGTGCCACGTGACATATTTATGTCACATTTCATTTGTAAATAAAATATTTTATACGTTTTGTTTTTAAGTAACGAAAAAATTATAATGGTAGTTGATGGATAGGTAAAACGTTTAATATGTTCCCACAAGTACACAAGAATATGAAATAATAATAATAACGCACACAGTCAACAAAGTCCCGCACTAGGGAAACACGTTGTAGCGGGTGCCATGGACACACACTTAGACAACCACAAATTATACCCAAATTCACGAGAGAAATAAATGTACTATACAAATATTTCTCCCGGCCCGGGAATCGAACCTAAGATCTCTGCGCGGCAGTAACCGTTCGGCCACAGACGGAGGCAGTTACAAATAATTAAAAGAAGAAAAAACAGAAAGTAAACAAAGAAAACAAAGAAGTTCGATAAATATATTTACACAACAAAGAGCTTATACCTAATTAGTGAAATAACAACTTAAACAACAAAGTACTAGTGTTTCGGCTTATCACCTTGAGGGTACAATTCAACAACTAATAAATCAGAATATTAATATTAAGCGGCTTAACAATTGGAATAACGTGATGATGATAGATAAAATTTTGTGGATGACATTGTGCATGCTGGCTTTCCTTCTTTGTACAGAGAAAGCCAGACATTTCCTGATTATGTTTGTAGTTTTTAAGGATTCGATTTAAGCACGTATTATAGTTTTTTTTTCATATATTGTATATGACGGGAGGTGGAATTGTTACCCATGGACATCTGAAATACCAGAAGAGTTGCCAGCTTTGAAGAGCCTTGACTCGCTTTTTGAAGAACCCTATGTCATAGTGCTGAGGAGACACCTCAAGAGGGAGACTATTCAACGTCTTCCATGTTCGACGAAGGAACGAACGTCTTAGAATGCCAATTTTCTTTTTGTGTCAACTTAAAATTAGCGAAAATGGCAATAACTGCGATATAATAAAGCATTATTGCGAATAACACGAGAGTCGACCCGCGTAACGTACCGCGTGTTATCATGACCGATAAGGGGTCCCACTGACCACTCCTGCGCATGATTTAAAATGATTTATGTTACATCATATTGATTGTGCTGTGACGCCAGCCAGTCGCAACCACTCAACACAAATATGTTATATGGTAATAGAATGTCATCTGAAACGATGACCCGTCGCCCATATCAATATTTTGTACATTTCAAATGCCTTTGGTAATGTTAATTAATTTGATGTTGTTTATCAGCGAAAACACTTATACTAAAAAGTCATTAAGAGGTCGTTTTATTTAAACAGTTGCCGTTTTAGCAGAAAAATGTTACTGGAAAGTTGAATTTAAGAATTTCGTGCTGTTGAATTTTATTTATTTACTTTCAGTTATGTAATTATAATTTTAGGAATAATAAAGTATCACAATTATAATACTAATAATTTTAATAACATTTATGAGGTTTAGTATTTAGTGTATAAAGAACAAAAATGAGACAGAAAATATTGCAATCCTATTGACGCGTGCGCGTGCATCAATAATGTTTAATACAGTACAATGAGTCAGCTTGTGTCGTGTGAGTGTTCGGTGACCGGCCGTGATCAGACAATGGTTTTATCACACAAAACGAGGAACTAACATGGAAAATACCCGATTGTTCTGATCTACCCAATAACCTGCCTATTGTTTTTCAAAACTCATCCTGGTTCCGCATAGTTTCCATTGCAAGGTGGACAATAATTTATTTTTACTAAAATTCTATACAAATTAATAATGGTACAGCTGTTTTGTTATTCTCAATATATAATGTATTGAAAAAAAAAATTATTAAAAAATATATTTGCACCCACTATCGCACATTGAAATGTAAATATGTTTCGAAGGACAGATATTTCACTGTGAATCCAGAAGCCATCACAATTTCATTTATTTGTAAGTAGACAAAGTTGAAAATTTTAATTTATTTTATACTTACTTATAATGTAAAATATTCTAAGTTTTTTTTTACACGAAATGGTACTACAATACTAC